CTCTAAAATAGTTATATAAAAGGTAAAGTTAATATTATTATTTAGTAATTATAGCTATATACCCTCTATAATCTCCTTTATAACTATAGTATTAACCTAGCTTAATAATAGGTTATTTACCTTTTACTATTTATATATCCTTAGCTTAGTAAAGAATAAATTACTTATAGTAATAATCTATTTTTACTTTATTACTTTATTATTAATAGTTAATACTATTAGCTAAATAAGCTTTTAGCCTTACTGCTTTACTTACTAGCTAACTAAGAGGTTATTTTAGCTTATAAGGTTAGCTTTATATTACCTTTAGTGTTTAGTGTTTTACTTTATAATATATTTAGCTAGCGTAGGTACTCCTAGGTACTTAGGGAGCTCCTCTTTACTATCTAGATTAATAAATTACTAGACTTTATATTAAGTAGTATAAAAGTAAAGCTTTATATACTATAAGAACTAATCTTTATATATAGTTAAAAGGCTATAAAAGTAAGTATTAGTTAGTAGATTTACTATTACTTCTAAAGGTATTATAAGCGTAAGATAAAGTTAAAAAAAAGTATTAGTATTTAAGAAAAGTATTTCTAAGTGTATACTATTTTATAATAGTAAGGGTTATTATTACTTATAGATTAAGTTAAAGCTAGGCTTATAACTATTATTAAGTAGTATATTTAAGGGGTAATTTATATAGTTAAAAGTGGCTTATTTCTTTTATCTATAGTGCTATAATCTATGTTCCTTAAATATTGCCTTACTTAGTGGATTCTGCCGTAAGTATCCATATTCAGGAGCAAGGGTCAGATTAATAAGCGACGTTGTTCCGGAAGGCGGTGTCAGTCAGCAATATCCTGCATGACAGAACTACTAAGCTCAATTGAAGTCTAAATTTGGGCCGTGTACCACAGAACATGCCGAGGTGGTATCAACTTCAGACAAGACCCTGAGGGTCGGAACCCTCACTCAGCCGCATCCAAAGATAAACGGTTGGGAAGAGACCGGCTGAGCACGTCGCGCGAAACCCAGCTTCGAAAACGGCCCCTGTCGACGCGATGTGCCCACCTGTACTGGCACTGCGGCCACTTTGTCTGAATCCTTCAGCATCGAGGACAGGAAGCGCGCGCGTGTATGCACCCGTCGCAGAGTGGCAGGCCGCATCGTGGACGCCGCAGTGACAGGTTCCTCCTCGGAGCTTTCTGGCGGGCGTGGGTTAGGCGTGGGTCGTCGTCTCTGGGCACCCATCAGCACTATTCTCTATACTCAAATGGGCGCCATGCTTGGGCCAAGCTCCTCGACTCATCGGTAGACAGTCCGTAAAGCGTCCGTTGCGGTTCCGGGTAAATGGGTTTGAAAAGTGAGCCGAGGCGGCCCGAACGTATTCCGACATGGGACCAACTTCATCCGACTGCCAATCACTCTCGAGCTCACTCCTTCAATGTATCGGAAAACTCCAAGGCCTAGTTTGATAATCTCCTGCCGACCGAGGGTGTTGCCAACAACCTCGGCGGCCAGCGCACTGCGTCTAAATACAGTCATGGACAGATCCATATGCAATATGCCCCGTTGGCTGACCCAGTGCAATCTTTTAGCCACGGTCCCGGGCATTGTTTCTGGCAAGAGATTGGGTCATATTCAAACACTGACGACCCTCACTCGGTTCATCCGGTATTCCAAACTTGAGTAACGCGAGGGAACCATGGGACTGGACGGTGGCATCGAATCGGCAGCGGTGCCGCCCAAACACAGCATGCTTTGTCAAGTCTGAGGAAGCTTGATACGACTACCATCGAGGATGAACTCGAATGGCAGAAACAAGCTAAGAGAAAACCCACTCGTGGTTCGCAAGACAGCTTCAATATGTATTGTTATCTAGCTTCGTGTTGTCCACTTACCTCGAATATGACTTTTTATTCATCGCGGATCGACCGCAATTGTAGACACTTAACTTGGGGTGGGGGGCGCAAAGCTTCTTCCAAGGACGTTGCAGCCGCAAACCAGCTTGGACAGCGGCGTGGTGTCGCGGGTGACACCGAAGACATCGAGTTGATAGCAATCACCTTTCATCGTCTTCGTTGTTACGCAGCGAGGCAGAAAGATTAGATGAAACTTTGCTGGGGAGGGGAGGGGGGGCATTACTCGTACGGATCAGCGACTACATACAATACCATGACGTGCTCTGTGCATTTTCTTTTTCCGTCACTCGTCCCATGGCGAGGGAGAATTATTGAGTCTTGTTTCGATGGACGGCACCTACCCTGGCTGGAGACGTGGTGTTCCAAATCCGCTCGCTCTCGCCAGAAAAAGCCATGCTATTCCCTAACCCTTACTCTGCGAGACGGCGCCTAGCCATTGCAAAAAGACACATGGAAGCATCTATTACTACCAAGGTTTCTCTTATCAAGTTTGGGTTAGACATATCTAAAGATGTCTTGTCTCTACTCTACTTATTAGTACTGTCTCTACTACTATATAATTTCTTACAGTAGTCCCCAAATTGTTAAATCCAAGCGACGGAGGAGCCGGCCGGGCACCTCTTCGGTTTTATTCTTTTCTCCTTTTCTTCTATTTTCAATTACCTTGAAGCATGTCGCTCAAGGGCGTTCAAACCCGCCGGGCATCCAAGAAAAGCTGACGAATGCGCAGTCGGAGGGCCAAGTAGCCATACCACAAAAGGCAGGACGGCCCTCGGGCCAAACAGGAAAGGGGTTTAATGCTCTCCAGAAAAGAAAAGAAAAAACAGAGCGAGGGGGTGTTGAGGAAGCAAACAGGGGGGGGTTGCGGACGAGGGGCTACGACCGAGTAGGGGTTTGTTTTCTTTTTGGTTTCCGTCAAAAGAACGTTGACATTTTTCACCATTCCGGTCTGAGGATTACCACAAGCTCCCCCCCCTCAACCGGGAGCTTGTATCTATTCAGTGGCTTGCTTTCAGACTGCACTGATTGTTGCTTCACACTTTGCCCGGATGACTCGGGCGGCCAGGGCTTCGTCGTCGTCGTCTTGGTTCAACGTTGGCGGCTCCAGACAGAGGTGATCGAATGGATGATGGCATTGGAATCCAGACGAGCTTTGGGCTGATCCTCGGGGGGCCACTCCCTCTTACTACGTGCCACCCGAGATTTCCAAATCACATGCCAAGTACGAGATGGACGACTGTAAGAGGGAGGGTTTCAAAACATGATGCGTTCGTTCGTTTTGCTTGCTTGGCTTCCGGCTCTACTAACACAGTTGTACGCCTAGGGACGGCGACTGTCGTCTGCGGCTCACCGGGCCACTACAAAGGCAATGACTGTGGTTCAATGTACGTCTGGCAACCTATCAAGACGTTTGCGTAGGTCAGTCGCAATTCACAGACCTTGTACGAAAGTAGCATCATGCAGTATGAAGACCACCATCGTTGGAAGACACACACAATTGTTGCCATATGAGTCTTTGAAAAGGGGTTTTTTCCCCCATTAGATTTAAATTCATGTACAAGAAAAGGGGCTGTGACCTGTGGATGCAGGCGTGGTATCATGTGTCCGCTAAACACGAAGTAATCCGACTCCCGCCACTAAACAAATCTCAAATCTTTTCTCAAGTACGCCTGCTCTGCCTTTGATTCAGAGGCATCATTCTCGTAAACGCGTCAAAATGTAAGAAAAAAAAACATTATAGACTCCCAGAGCCATTATAACTTGCCGGAGCGGGCTCGCAGCCCAACGCGTCTAGTAGCGGCTGCGCTGCCACCAGCGGCGACGCCGGTAGGTGGTTTGGGTGGCGGGAGGGGAGAAGTTGTCGACCTTGGCCCGCTGCTGGCGGCGCTTGTGCAGACGCCCGCTGCAGCAGGTGAAGAAGACGACGACGGTGCCGATGAGCAGGCAGATGGCGGCGGCCAGGAGGGTCCAGAGCGCAACGCCGTAGTGGGCGTAGCTGCCGTCGTCGCCGTTGTTGTCGCCGTTGACTTTGCGGCGGATGGTCGCGAGCATGACCCAGTCGCAGATGAGGGCGACGATGGTGATGAGGAAGGCGGTGCCGGAGACGAGGGCGGCGAAGAAGGAGCCGAACATGCCGGCGCCGACGGAGAGCACAAAGGCGATGAAGGAGACGCCGGCGGCGATGGGGTTGAGAATCATGACGCGGGTCAGGGCCTCGACGGCATCGGAGGACCAGGCGCCCAACTGCGTGGCATCGGCCTCGCCGATGATGTCGGCGGGCGAGTACCCGACGCTAGAGCGGCTGCACTGGTCGGAGCCACTAGGAGACGCGTTAGCAAGCTGGCTGGCTTTGCCGTAGGCTGGAGGACTTACTCTGCAGAGCCGTCAATGACACACCATCCGAACGTGCCAAATGTGATCTCTCGGCCGGCGGAAGATTGACCCAGCTTCACGGTCAAGAGAGAGATGTGGTGCACCACTGGGGCAGAAATAGTGGTGATAATTAGGAGGATCGTTGCTGCAAGGAGCAAGAAGCTCCCAAAGTGGTGGATGAAGCCGGTGACAGCCATGTTGATGGATTACTGGTGCCGAATGTGGCAAATGGCCGGCGTGTGGTAATAGGTTGAGCTAAGTTGTGTAGGTCAAGTGGCGAGATGGGAATACTGAGGTGACGAACATGTTCATAAAACGAAGGGAGAAGCCGTCCACATATAAGCACCGCCGTGTTACGAACCCCCAGGCCGGGTCAAGAAACACGCCATCGCATGATTTGCTGTGTGATCTGTGACAGTAGAACGCTGGGCACACCGTCGGGGCCAAGAATCCCGTGTAAGTCAGGGTCCTGACGCAGCCCAACGAGTGCGACGTCATCAACGTGGCCCGACTTGGCTCCATAGCGTACTTTTGCGGCTTTTGAGAATAAGAAAAAACACATTAAAGGAAACCAGGTGGATTGGACCCTGGCTTTGCGCAAACAGGCCCCAGCACCGGTTGATCGGCTCGTCTAGGCTCTGCCCAATTTGTTTAATTGTCGACAAAAAACTGGCGATGGTGACTTTAGGTGAACAGGGACGTGGCACTAGCGGATCGTGACGTGACGTTATTGGCGTTGCGGCCAAGCTGATTGGCCCGGCGCTGGGGTCGATGTCGGTCTACGGCACTGCGGGTTGCAAGTCTTCCCTGTTTTTATGGCTCTAATATGACGCCACGCGGTGAAGGGACTTAGGGGCCCTGGCCATGGCAATCCAACTTCAACGTCAATGTTTGTCCAGCTGACTGCCGCACTGCCGATTTCCACCTGTTTCTTTGGCCAAAGCCACCAGCAGCTCGTCGTCAGGGGAATCTTTAGCGTTGCACCGGCCCGGCGAGGACCCTGAAAGACGTCTTCGTCATCATCTCAACACGGTCCTTTCGATTCTTGCAGGCCGATATCGACATGTCGACTGTTGCCCCTGGGCGTTCGCTTCAGACGGTTCAGGGTCTCCATGTCAAGTTCATGCACCGGGCCAGGCCCGCATTGGATTTGGCCATGCAGCACGAGACATCAAGAGTTCCGTCCAATCATCCGCCCAATGAGAGGGCCTGTTTGGGCCTTCTGCCATCCCATCTCCCGCAAGAGCCTTGTGCCAAATTGTCCGCTTGAACCGGTGCTTCACTTCCGGAACGCGTAGCCCATGGCGAAACGATTTGATCATGAGGAACCTGAGGCTTTCACGTCTATTTGGCCTCGGCGGTCAGCAGCGGCTTCAGAATCTACGAAGCGTGCTTGGAGTCCTACTTGTCGCGCGGCACCGCGGCCGTGAGCTATTTGGTCTCTCTCCTATCCAGGTTTCAAGCAGCTCGACCCACGCCTGGTCCCAGAAAACGAGCCCGAACCAGCGCCCTTGCCCAGCTTCTGCAGCACCCAGATGGGCTGACGATAGTGTCCTTCCTCGGCAATCTTTACAGTCAATCAACGTCCGAGATTGTTTCACGCACGAAGGAGTAGGCATTGGCCAACGGACGCGTCTGCTAATGTCTAAAGCAGGGGCCGTAAAGCAATCGGATCACCGCGGCCTCGTGCGGTAGGAGCCCACCAGACTCAACAAGCTCCAGGACCTTCTAGCAGGTTTATTCAGAGCGCCGGCACTTGTGAATCGTAGAAGGGCCAGTGCACCCGAATGTATCTGGTGAAAACTTGCGAATAAGAAAGTACGTGTCGCAGGCTGCTCAGAAGAACGCGACGGGCATATCATATGGGGTCATGCCCATGGCCGATATCAGTACCCAGTTATCTCGGGGTAGCACCTCGTATCGCTCGGCTGTCTATTCAAACCCTTAGAGCCACGATGAGTCTCGGTATCCGGCGGCGAGAGTTATCAGTGTTGCACCAACGCCATTGCAGAGCGCGAAGTCCAGATTCATAGCACGAATGTCAATCGCTATGGCTCCTTGCCCTACGAGAAGACCTTGCAGGGAGTGTGCGAGGCCGTGTGTAGGTCGGCAATGGGGCTGCTTGTATAAAGCCCCGGTGTAGTGCCAAGTGACCAATGCAATAAGAGGCGTGCCCCGTTGCAACGAAAGGGCTGATCTCTGATGACACAATGACCATACGGCGTCGAGTTTGCGATGTCGAGGGTAGATATGTGGTTGTAAAGGGATTGAGGTTGTCACGAAGGAAGACTTCGTAGGCTATTCAAAAAGCCAGCCCTGCAGGGCCACTTGCCACGACAGCGGTGAAAAGACGGCAATGGCGCTCTGTCGCGTAGATGCAAGCCCAACTTTGCTGTTGTGCTTCTCTCATCCTAACTTGTTCGCTTCTTGCCGGAGGTGGAACAGTCCTCCCATGATGGCAGGCGCCTTCTCGCTTTTCTCTCTCCGTTGGATACGGTCGATAATGGCGCGCTTCTTGACGTCGTTTGACTTGGTGCCGAGAAGGATGTCCTCCCAGAGCTGACCCTTGGCCGAGGCCTTGACCTGCCCGCCCGTCTCCCAGTCCGACAACCCATCGGCAGCGACGTTTTTGGGTACCGACTCCTTCAAAGTTGCCGACATGACCGTCTCGCGTCGGGACTTGGGCCATGGGCCATGTAGAGGAGACGCCCTGATAGCGGCGGAGTGTATATAGGTCGGAGCCGGGAAGATGTGCACCGTAAAGTCCTTTCTGTCCTCCGTGTGCGCGGCGAACTCGGCATCATAGTACTTTTCAGAGTTGGTAAAGGGGCCGGCCGAGGCCGAGCTCGTCAGGAACGTCTTGACGGAACCGTTTGTTCGGGGGGTCGCAAGCTGGTATTGTAGCGGGCTGATCTTGGCGAGTTCCTTAACTTTCGCTTTGTCGCTGACGACCGAAATGAAGGACGAAGGATGATTCTTTATACAAATGCATGTCAGTTATGTGGGAACGGAAACACAATGCAATGTGTCCTTCTATGTAACATACATCTAGCTTCTTGAATACTTCGACTTTGGCGAACTGCTGCAGCGAGTGCAGGACAGCCCGTCGTTCTGCGAACTTTGTCGGCCTCGGTACGACCGTGACTTGTATTGTCCGCGCCGCCACCTTATTTTGGAGGGTCTGTAGAATAGCGTGGCCGTTGTTCGACATGACGAATGCGGTTGTCGATGTGATTACAATTGCATGTATGGCAATCGCAGGGTGCAGAAGCCCGGTTCAACTGAAGCTCCGCAAAGTTGTCAAGCTCTAGTGGACCTTGAGACCGTGCGCGAATGAGAATTGACGCACTCACACACAGTGATGACCGCCTGGGGGGCCCCGCCAGATGGCGGGGAGGCAACACTCCGCGACTGGAATTCTAGAACAGCTTGGAATACCTACGCGGTGCTACGCTTCAAGCCTGTCAACTATTCACTTCTCATACTCCCCGTCTATCACGAGTCTTTGAACTTACTGTAAATACTACGGTCCAACACAATAGTGCGCAACACTGCCTGCACCTACCTGCGATTCCAGTGCAACCCCACGTACACGTCAACCAACCCCAGCGTCGCACCCCTCAACCGAAATCATGGCCGCCATCATCGACGCCGACGACGTGATGGAGCCCACCCTTCAGTCCATCATCGACCAGAAGTCGCTGCGCTGGATCTTTGTCGGTGGTAAGGGTGGTGTCGGAAAGACGACCACCTCGTGCTCGCTCGCCATCCAGCTGGCCAAGGCGCGCAAGTCGGTCCTCCTCATTTCGACCGACCCGGCGCACAACCTGTCTGATGCCTTCAACCAGAAGTTCGGCAAGGAGGCCCGCCTCATTGAAGGCTTTACCAACCTCAGCGCCATGGAGATCGACCCCAACGGCAGCATGCAGGACCTGCTCGCGGGCCAGAACGAGGAGGTGGATGCCATGAGCGGTGGGCTCGGCGGCATGATGCAGGACCTGGCTTTTGCTGTACGTTTCCTCTCGCGACCCTTCCGTTCTTTATAGACTGAGGACTAACTCTATTTCCGGACAGATCCCCGGTATCGATGAAGCCATGTCGTTCGCTGAGGTCCTCAAGCAAGTCAAGTCCATGTCCTACGAGACAATCATCTTCGACACCGCCCCGACGGGCCACACCCTCCGCTTCCTCTCGTTCCCCAGTGTCCTCGAGAAGGCACTCGCCAAGGTCTCCCAGCTGAGCTCCCAATACGGGCCCCTCCTCAACGGCTTCCTAGGCTCGGGTGGTCAGCTTCCCAACGGTCAGAACCTCAACGAGATGATGGAGAAGCTCGAGACGCTGCGCGAGACCATCTCCGAGGTCAACACCCAGTTCAAGGACGAGAACCTGACGACTTTTGTCTGCGTCTGCATCCCCGAGTTCCTGTCTCTCTACGAGACGGAGCGCATGATCCAGGAGCTTGCCAACTACGGCATCGACACCCACAGCATCGTCGTCAACCAGCTGCTATTCCCCAAGAAGGGCAGCAACTGCGACCAGTGCAACGCCCGCCGCAAGATGCAGAAGAAGTACCTCGAGCAGATCGAGGAGCTGTACGACGAGTTCAACGTCGTGAAGATGCCCCTGCTGGTTGAGGAGGTCCGCGGTAAAGAGAAGTTGGAGAAATTTAGCGAAATGCTCATCAAGCCGTACGCGCCTCCCGAGATGGACGCATGAGCAACACGTTCTGTGGGTCGATAGGGGGTAAACGGGCGCTGGTCTTCAGAGGTTCCCAAAAAAAAAAAAAAATTCACGACTATGAAATTGGTTAAAGGGCGGGATGGACGGGATGGATGGGTAGCGTGCAGGCGTCAGAGTCACAGGTGGAGGCATAGAGCACATTCATGAACGATTGATACCCAGTGATATGTGCAGGAGACTTTATTTTGACCATCTCGGTGCGTGATTACATACAGAAACCGCCCACACTGGAGCAAAGGTGTGTGAGGGATGCTCGTCTGGTGTTTCGTTATCCCGAATTGCCTTGATGGCATGTCAACGGTGAAGCCTGATCCCCTCCCAGACAACAAATGAATTCCACCCATACTCATGATGAACGCCTCAAGACTGGAAAAGAGTCTTGCCCATATACCGCTCTTGGTTTTGTGAATGTTGTGTTGTGCCGTGTTCTTCCGGAATGACAATGATAATGAACCGTAATGCAATGCGTGTCGTCTACTGTTACAGTCGAAGTTGGAGCCGTGGGCGTAGCGGCCGTCGAATAGGCCGGGTGTATTATCGTCAGGTGACGGAAGCTCAAAGCTCCCTGTAGTCACTAGGCCGTACGCGCTTCTGACGGTTCTGGTGGCGATGAGGGTTGACAGGTCTGCGGAAGTAGGCATCCTCGTCATTGCTCGGCTGCGTGAAATTGTGACGCTGTTGGTTGAATCCGCCCATGCCACCGCCGTTCATACCGCCGTTCATACCGCCATTCATACCGCCGTTCATGCCGTTCATTGCACCGTTCATTCCGCCATTCATACCGTTCATCCCGCCGTTCATGTTGGCGTTGAAGTTGCCGTACATGTTGTTACCCATGTCGGGGAAGCCACCGCCGTTCATGGGGTTGAAGCCGGGCATGCCCATCATAGGGTTCATCATACCCATCATCGGCATTCCCATGTTCATGTTGCCCATGTTACCCATATTGGGCATATTGGGCATGCTGGGCATTCCCATAAATCCGTTCATCATGTTCATGCCCCCAAAGCCCATCATCGGGTTCATAGGCATGCCGTTCATGCCATTCATGCTGTTCATCATTGCTTGCTGTTCTTGTTGTTTTTGCATGGCCTTCGGGGCCTTCGGAATCTTCGGGTTTTCCATCAGCTCATCAGCCGGGCGCTTCTTTGAATTGGATTCGACTGAGGAAGCACGATCGGCGGGACCGGTCGGGGCATTTGCCGGCGTGGCCGCTGCTGACTTGGGAGTACCGCCATTCGTTGAAGCGGCCGCAGGAGCGGCGGCGGTGACTGAGGGTGACTTTTGGGGCGTGGGCGACTTTGAGGTTCCGTTCGCCGTCTCTGTTTTGGCCTCCTCTACTTTGTCCTTTGGAGACGAGGCCGCCGGCGCCGCTGGTGATGCTACGGTCGGGCTTTTTGTCTCCGTCTTCTCCTTGAGGAATTCCTTCATCTTGTCGGTAGTCTCCTCATCAGCCTTCAGGTCGTCGATCAGAACACCTTCCGTAGAGCAGTTGGGGCAGATGAAGTCCGATTCGATGAGAGCGTTAGTTATGCAATCATTGCAATACGTCTTCTGGCAGCACGGGGTCTTCATTGGTTCTATGAACATCTTCTTGTCGATGGGGCACTCGAGTCCCTTCTCCTGCAGCTCCTTGTCTCCCATAGCAATTGCCTTGGCAGCGGAGGCTGAAGACTTGGCCTTGGCCTGGAACTGTTCCCACGATGCCTTGTCAGGCTCGGCGATCACAAATTCTCCCTCAGCGTTGACCATAATGCCTGAAGGTCTCTTGGTCTCATCGTCGCCGCTTTGGGCAAGGGCGACCGACTTATCAACCGTCCGCAAGAACGACCTCGGAATACCAGTCGTGCGCTTTACACGCGGACGGTTATCAAACTCTGGGTCATCGTTCGTTGGGCATAGCTGGATCCAGTGGCCCTTCTCTCCACAGCGGTAACAGATGTAACCGTTGGGCGGGTCATGGTCAGGCACGTTAGCTGGCTTTTTGGAGCCTGGCTTGAACACTGGAGTTTGACTGTTCACGAGTTAGCCAGCAATGACTGACGCCGCAACGAGGAAACTTACTGGGACATCTCTTCTTGTTGGGCCGACCACGACTCGGTCTGCGCCTGGAACATGGCAGCCATCTTTTCTTCCTCGGTCATGGCATTGTTCATCTGATTGATGGCGTTGGATGTTGCCTTGGCCGTGGCCGTCTTGGTTGTTTGCTCCTTGCGAGACGAGTTTTTGGCAGCGACGGGCATCTTGCCAGAGACATATCGAGCGCCGCGGCCTGCGCCAGGTTTGGCGGCTGGAAGGCGACGAGCGACAACTGTGGTCGATCTAGGGATAATCGTGGTATCATCATCGTATTCTGTATTGATGTTAGCATAGAGCGACGGAAGCGTGCAGAAAAATGGCGCATACCTTCACTGCCATCCTCGGAGTAAATGGCTAGGTCGAAATCGGTGCCGTCGCCTAAACCACTCTTCAAGATGATGTCGCGCTTCAGCTCGAAAACGGAAATGCCGGTGCCATCGAACTCAACGCGCGTCGGTTCCTTTTGCGATTTGAACTTGAAGAAGACAGAGGACGCCATGGTGTCTTGTGTTCGTGGTATGGTCACAACTGTAGACCAAAACAGACGTCGAGAGCAGTGATATGCGTAGTTAGGTTTTTGAAGAGGCGATGGCGATGATGAAATCGCAAGCGACCACAAAGACGCACCGCTACCTTAAGGTGAGTAGAGAGTGACTTGAAGCTAGTATTTCTTTTTTTTTCTTGCTTTTCTTTTGCGTAATCCCTCTTTCGTTCAGCACCTCTCAAGAGTAATAGGAAATCAATTCTGATTTACTTGGAAGAACAAGGAAATAAGGGTTTTTGGAGTGTAGAGAAAGAGTACAATGCCAAAGAGGCCGACACCGGTTGGAGAATAGGCAGCCCTTTGTGTGAATCCCTCCTTACATCCAATCACCTCGACACCACGCGTACCATCAGTAGAGAAAACCTCAGTTAGCCAAATCAGTTTCCTGGTCAGTATTCCGTTCGATGTGAAAGCGATCGCAGTTCGCTCTTGTATCCGGAGAAGGTAAGCGTGGAGATGAGGGAAAACGGTCCCTGCTGAGCGGGCACTTGCGTCGCTTGTCGGTGGCAGTGCCAAATATTTGGTCGTCTGCTCAGAAGTCGCGAAGGGGGTCGCACAGCCGTACAAAGAGCGAGTGAATCGAAGCAAGGCGCGATGTTGCGGTCGAGGAGTCAGCAAGGAATCGATGTGGTGGTTGTGATGTTCTCGGAAGGAAAAAGAGGAGTAATGCAAAGGGGGGGAGAAGAGATATACCCAGCCGGCTTTGGTTGCAGGCAGAAAGAGAGGTGCTGGAACCCACTCAAGTCCTGCCACCTGATTCTAGCACAAACCTGGACGGGCCGCGTCGGATGGCACGTGAGCTGTCGGAATTTCTAAGCAAAAGTTTCTCCGTGTCGGCCATCAAGCTAAAAGCTGAGTCATCCGTTGAAGAAAGGACTAGCGTAATTTCTCAGTCTTCCCATCAGTCACGCGATCACTCACGTGAAAGTAGCCTCTGTCCTAGCGTCTCCACTGCATTCGCAACAAGCGTCTCTTTCTTACACTACTGATACGCCGCTGCTTGCCGAAGCGCGCATTGAGAAAACCCCGCCATTCCGAGTAGCAGCTGTGGGTAGGTGCATGTGGTGGTACATACTTGGTCCCTCCCGGTGCAGCAGAAATCTGGTCAGCTCTATTACGCCCGATGTAGAAGGTCCAGTCCGGCGTCATGCCCCGCACCTCATTGTTCACAGGTCTTGCCCGCTCTCAACCGGCTAGAAAGTTTGTTCCTACATACCCCAAGACCCTCCCTTACTGGCAGTCGATATCTCATTCTCGCCGTCATTACCTCTCTCCAACAATACAAGCCCACCAAGCTCGCAAGATGGCCCCCCAACTTGACGGCTACTTCAAGCAGGTCGATGCCGACGCCGACCACTTTATCGAGCGCCTCCGGAAGGCTGTTGCGATCCCCTCCATCTCTGCTGATGTCGAGCGCCGCCCCGATGTCGTCAAGATGGGTGAATGGCTCGCCGCCGAACTGAAGGCCCTCGGTGCATCTGTCGAGCTTCGAGCCCTCGGCGAGCAGCCCGACAAGCCTGGCCTGCAGCTTCCCCCCGTCGTCCTTGGAAGATACGGAAGCGACAAGAACAAGCGAACCATCCTGGTCTACGGCCATTACGATGTTCAGCCGGCCGAGAAGACAGACGGCTGGGCGACCGAGCCTTTTGAGCTGTCCGTCGATGACAAGGGCAGGATGTTTGGTCGTGGTGCCACCGATGATAAGGGACCCGTGCTTGGCTGGTTGAACGCCATCGATGCTCACCAGAAGGCTGGTATCGACTTCCCCGTCAACCTTCTCATGTGCTTCGAGGGCATGGAGGAGTACGGCTCTGAGGGCCTTGACGACCTTATCAACGCCGAGGCCAAGAAGTACTTCGCTGACGCCGACGCCGTCTGTATTTCTGACAATTACTGGCTCGGAACCGAGAAGCCTTGCCTGACCTACGGTCTCCGCGGCTGCAACTACTACTCCATCGAGATCTCGGGCCCCGGTGCTGATCTGCACAGTGGTGTTTTTGGCGGTACTGCCCAAGAGCCCATGACCGACTTGGTTCGTGTCCTTGGCTCTTTGGTTGATACCGACGGCAAGATCCAGATCCCTGGCATCATGGAGCAGGTTGCTGCTGTGACCAAGGAAGAGGAAACTCTCTACGACGGCATTGCCTTCACCATGGAGACTCTCCAGGAGTCACTCGGCAGCAAGACCACCATCTTCGAGGACAAGAAGTCTACCCTCATGGCCAGATGGCGCTACCCCTCCCTCTCCGTCCACGGCATTGAGGGTGCTTTCTCTGCCCCTGGTGCAAAGACTGTCATTCCCGCCAAGGTTACCGGCAAGTTTTCCATCCGCACCGTGCCCAATATGGAGATCGATGCCACCAACGAGGCTGTTTACAAGTACGTCAATGAGCAGTTCGCAAAGCTCAAGAGCAAGAACACCATGAAGGTCTGGGCTCAGCACACCGGCAAGTGGTGGGTTGCCTCGCCCAAGCACTGGAATTTTTCTGCCGCCGCCAAGGCCACTGAGCGCGTCTGGGGCGTGCAGCCCGATTTCACCCGTGAAGGTGGAAGGTATGGAATCTACACCCTGCGCCCTACGTGTAGTCACTAACATGATTGTCTAGTATTCCTGTCACCCTCACTTTCGAGCAGGCCACTGGCAAGAACGTCCTTCTCCTGCCCATGGGTAGCTCCACTGACGGCGCTCACTCCATCAATGAGAAGCTGGACAAGCGCAACTACATCGAGGGCATCAAGCTCCTTGGCGCCTACCTGCATTACGTTGCTGAGGAGCCCACCGCATAAGTGGACACTTAACTGTGGCAAGATCCCACACCAAGATGAACTAGGAATCGCGACTCGGGGCATGTACATAGAGTCAGATGCTCTCTCATTTAGCCAATGGCGGTTGCGCTCGGCTTGTGGGCCGCTTATGCCGGCATGCTGTAAGCGCGAACATAGCGCAGCAGTAGGCCATCAGCCGGTTCAGGTTGTCGCAGATGTGCCCCGAGTATTTACTGCGGTGTTCAAATCATAGGTCACGTAATCAAAATACCCAAGCAAAAGTCGTATCGAACATGCTCCATTTGATTGACTCTAGATGCGGGGGGTATTATATCGTGCGGTGTCATACTGAATGTTTGAAGGTCGTGGTGTTATTAATTGTGGGCCTCATGTGCTAGCAAGCCCATCGATAAAAAATAAAAAATAATAAAAATAGGAACCGCCGGATGCAAAGATGAAGCCGAATGTGGCTGGGGGATATCTTGTGACATAAGTGAGATAAGGGAATAGGGTATCGCAGCTTCCTCGAAGCTTACTACTTCTTCCGCGCCGTCGTCACGCGGCGGCTCCGCCTCTTGGCCACGACCTCCGGGTCCCAGTTCCCGGAGAACAGGTCCTCGAGGTCGTCCTCGTCCTCGGAATCGAACACGATGTCGACCTCCTCGCCGCCGTCCGACTCACCCCCCTTGCCAGCGGCTTCCGCGGACTCGGCATCGTCGCTCCGGCGCCTGCCGCCATCTCTCACCTTGTCGCCTTCCCCTTCAGACTCCTGCTCCTGCTCCTCCCCCTCCTCCCCGCCGTCCTCCGAGATGCCGTGGCCGTCGGCCGGGGCGTCCTCCCAGCTGCGGAAGGGCACGACGCGCTCGACCTCGAGTATGAACTTGCCGACCTTGTACCTCTGGCTGAGCTCCTTGGCGTCGACGTACTTCCAGCCCAGCTTGGCGTTGCAGAGGACGCAGGTGATGTCGGCAACGACGTGCCAGCCCGTGACGAGCTGGCGGTTCTCGCACTTGCCGATGCGAACGTTGGCGAGGGTGCCGGGGCCGGCGGGGCCGTTGTTGCCGATCTTGGAGGCGGGAGGGGCGCCGCCTGATACGGGCGCGGAGGGGGGAGGGGTCGGCGCGACGAGGTAGGCGCGGCCGTAGCGGCCCGTGAAGCCCTTGCTCACGATCTGGGAGGAGAAGGCGACGTCGCAGGAGCAGGTCGAGCAGCGGAGGGTGTCGGGCTGGGTGCGCGCCAGGGAAGGGCGGCCGGTCCCGGGCCTCGCAGACTTGGCCGTTGCAACGGAGGGACTGCCCGCGGCCGCTGTGGCGGGAGAGGTTATGACATCTTGGTACGACGGCGGCAGCGGGGGGCTGTTTGGCGGGGTCACGGTCTCATCGGTCGTCGAGGACGTCGGCGATGAGCTCAGGGAGGGCACCTGGCTCGCGTCCGGGCTCAAGGGCGGACTCGAGGCGGACGCCGGAGCCGCGGGCGCGCGACGACGAAAGGGGATGTTGAAGCTGGGGAGGAGGTAGGTCGGGAACGTGGGCCGGGAGACGACGATGCTGGGCGCCATCGCGACGGGATTTCTTTTCTTTTATTAACTAGAGGAGAGGTAAGGGCGCAGCGGCCTTTCTGTCTCCGGTGCCCGATCCGGAAAGCGATATTCCGTTTCTTTGTTGTGAAGGGAGTCCGCTCAGCGTATGCGCTACGTTTGACGAGTTATTGGACGTGGAAGTGGGCAACGGCGATCGTGGAGGGCCCAACCATGATTCTTCAACTGGCAGATTCGAGGGTTGAAGAAGAGGAAGGGAAAAGGGGGGGTGGGATGTAAGTGAGCACACAGGGTGACTGGACGGTTCAAGGCGAGCAGAGGCGCGTTTCTCCTTGGGACGACAAGGCTAAAAAGAGTTTTTGTTTCCTCCTTCTGCACAGAGTGTTTGGGTTCCGCGCGGTCGGAGAGAGGGGGCTGAGCTTTGGAGGGCGTGGGAGAAGGGAAGGTCATGCACGTGTGGTGCTCCGTGTGATGGGAGGGCTGGGTGAGAGGAAAGGCTGGGAGCAGGAGAAGGGGGACATGAGTGGATGGAAAGGATGCGGCACAAGACAGCAGACACGGCGGGTTTGAAGGAGCCTGACTACACTTTACACTGGGGATGGAACCTAGATTGCTAGGAAGGGTAAGGTATTGAGGGGGGCGGAAGGGAGGGGAGAGAATTGTCTTGGTGTAGCTGTTGTAAGGTGGCGGCAGAGTCAACATTTCGAGCGTCACTTATTCTCTGGATTTATCGCTATGCCATTGTGCGATAACAACCCCAACCCCGGTTGCCAGTTGTGCGGTGAGGAACGACGACGCATGGCCGGAACTTGCAGATAAGCATGAAATATCGGGACTGAGATACGTATTCAAGGCGCAAATCGTTGATGAAAGAAAGGGGCCGGGGGGTTGTGCTTGTACGGCCTCACTTCTCGCCCCCCTTCTTCTCCTCAAGTTCTCACAGAGAGAGAGAGAGAGAGAGATGCGAGTGAAAAGCCGAGGGTGTCTTGGAGGAGAACACTCCAGTCGTCTCAGATGACACGACCTTCGGAGGTGCGGGGAGATCTCATTGCACCAGATAGGCGATCAGCAGTAAGGTAGGTAGCGTTCCCATTCCCCCACCTCTCGAAGCTACTGCGGTGCAGCCCGACGTTATCGATAACACGAGCGTGAGCCGGTAAGAAAGGCAGGAAGAGGTGGGGAAGGGCGGACGGTGGGAGCACACTCACTTGCCTTTTGCTGTATGTGGCATGTGGTGTGTCACTGGACCAACAAGCGTGGATGATCGCCTCACTTGGTCGCTGTCAGAGGGGTCGTCCAAAACCCTCCCAACGACCGTTGGGAGGGATCCCACACCTCTTTCTTGGGGGGTGGGAAGCGCAAGAAAGAGGTGTGGAAGCGTCGGAGGTGGCATGGAGGCAAAAAGTATGATGAGAGACGGCGGGTACAGAAAGGCAAGTCAACCTGAAAAAAGAAAAAAGCAAAATCACATAGAAGTTGCTGGAATGAGCGACGTTTTGTTTCGGAATTGCGAGGCTATTTGATGCTGGATGCGGGGATCGAAGTCATGTCTCACTCTGCCGAGGCTTTTTGTTTTTATTTTTATTCTATCAAAGTAGAACTGGCATGGAGTTGCCCATCTGGCGGGAAGATCGCTCGGCGGGCTCGGTGAGCGAGGATCATCGTATGGCCCGGCATCGTGTTGGTGGCTGCTGAGCTGGTTGGCCATTTTCTTTTACCGGAGCCCCTAAATGCGCACTTCTCTTACTTGGCCATTCGCCTCGTGCAGCTGAGAAAGATGAATGACACGATAGCTGCCTGGTTATTCTTAGGTGACGATGATGCATTAATCAATCAGACCATCGTCGACAAGGGAAATATCTATCGATGCGACGTCGAATGATTACAACGACGAGCGAGCGGACCCTGGGCGATAACTCGCAACCCAGGAATGTTGAGGGGAACTGCCACGCAAAGAAACCGTCAAGTGACCCGAACGGAAACACGGACCCCAACCCTGCAGCACCTCACTCTCCACCCGTTACTATGGCATGCTGGTGATTGACATGGCATCCTTCCCAATTCCTGGGTCTTTCTTTCAGCCGGCGGCCATGGCCTGTCGCGATTGGGCGGCCGAGAAAGCTCGGGAGTGGCCTTCGAAGTCATACGCAACAAGGCAGACGTCTCCGATAAAAGCATGACGAAGGGAAGGGCGCCTCGAGATTAGGGATGGAATGCCGGCCTTGACAGCCAAACCCTTGGCTATCCTGGCGGTGCCAATGTCTTTGTGCGATTATGTTACCTGTCAACGATGCGGTGATGGATGGCTGGCTGGCTGGCTCTTGGCCTCGGAGGTCCATTGGTCAGACCTTCCCAGCCCGCGTGCAGCTCAGAAGAAACAAACAGCTCGGGACACGAGAAGCAAAGGATTACACTGCGTTTACTCATTCTTGTGGGATCCATGAGCAGAGAGGAGGCAAACACTGTGATACTGTATGGCGCATGGTCTCTGGGCTGGGTTTGGAGGTGTCCACGTGCCTGCGAGCCTGCGAGGTGGGACCCACAGCCCTCGTTCCATTGGCAAGCGCGCCCGCAGCCAGCATGTCCAGAGTGCCAAGCACCGCGCCGTCGGAGCCGGATTGAGAGCGTCCACCCGACTTTTCCTGTTTGCTGGCCGCCCGGAAGCAGCTGAGGGAGAATGCGAGAGGCATGGAGTTATTGGAGTCCAGGCATCCTTAGAGGTGAGGCATAGGGTGGGATGTCTCTAAGAGCCAGACATTTTGCGGTGCTGTGATTCGGAGAGGCAAAGCTGAGCGCTAGGCCAGTGCAATGCAGCCCAAGAGAAAACGTGCTCGACAGTGTGTGGATGCGCAACATGGAGGGCGCGCCATGGGCTCCAGCCGGTTTCGGTTTCGTACGATGTATGCCTACCCAAGGCCAGTGCCCCTTCCCTCTCGGCACTCCTCCAATTGCCGAGACTTCCAAGTAAGAAAGGAAACAATGAGCAAGCTGCACTGGAGTTATTCCCCAAAACGCTCTGCTGCGTTATGTTGATCCATGGCGGAAGGAAAGGGGTCCCTGATCATGGGATCTGAGTAGACTGCAGACATGCAGACGCCGAAGCATGAGTCGAGAGTTTCGTTTTACTACCCAAACTAGGTACTTACCTACAGTACCTAGTGGTCCCCGTACATTACGAAAGTGCGTGTGCATTGGAGAAAAAAGACATGGGTCCGCCGCGGGAAAGGAAGGGTGGAGAAGAGCCGTGGCTTAACATGACTGTTTTGAGTGGTCCACTGCTGGGCTTTTGTGGGGGGGGGGATCGTGGTGGTGGTGTGCGCGCCTCCCACCTTTGAGGCAAGCCCCTGCTGGGCGGTCGGTCTTTCAGTGTTGGCTTGGTCTGTGAGTTACGCTGCACCAGCAGCCTGCTGCACCGTAGTCCCCCTAAAGTTGTCTTCTCCGCCACCCTAGAGGTTTCCACACTTCTGAGCAATTCGGCTGTCCTGCTGGGTTTTTTATTCACCGACCGCCCGCGCGCTGACCTTTTCCTCGTCCCGTTTCCTTATCTTTCCATCGCTTTACCGCTGATATATCTCGCCTTACCCGCAACAACCGCCGTCTTCTAAACAACTAGAACAAAAAAAAACCAAGACGATAAAGCATCTTCCTCACTCACCAAAGCATTCCATCGTCATCCCAGCCTCCATCAGCTTAAACAACGCACGCAGGAGCCCCAATTCTCTCGAATCCACTCCACCTTCACCATCGTCGCTACGTCAATCCGCCTCACTTTTCAAAAGTAAGAAAAACAAAGTCGGCCACCAACCACCGCCCCCATCGACGAACGGTTCCGAATTCCCGAGAACCGACTCAATCACCTATATCAAAACCACCACAGAGTCTAGCAACCAACCCCCGAGAAATCAATCGCAATGGCGCCCATGAATCAGCAGAGTAATTACTCCAGTAGTAATTATGGTGAGGCCATTGTCCGTCAGGCCAATGTCCTCGCCAGCTGCTACATTGTCGATTCCGCCGCGACTCTTCGCGGTCTCCACTACTGCACTACGGGGGCCGCAGGTACGTGACATTCTCCCACTACCCTCCCTCTTCGGCCTTCCATTCCACGGCACATGATCGCGGCTATACCCCTTCCCCCCACGCAAGGATTCAGCCTCAATCTCGAGACAGAACGCCGATCGCTCGGCTTCTTGTCTCTCCCTCCCCTCCATCCCCACTCTCGTGCATCTTCGCTGCCGAACCCAAGACTCTGAAAACACCGAGAGACTAACCTGTGCTATCAACAGGGGCCGAGTGGTATTCCTGAGGTCCCCTCCTCAGGATTACCATCTCCTCCGTCAAGTCCCCCCCTCGCGGCTATCACGGCGTCCAACGAGCTCGCGCTGCTTCCCAAGGCCAGCAGCAAGCGTCGCGACGCCGTGCCAGGCAAGCGAATTAGCCGTCGAGGGGGGGCGGCGCTCTCGATCAGGGAAGAATGTGAAAGGTTCTTTTGCGAGTCCATGAGGGCTGTGTTCCGCGGTGAGACGGACACTGGCCCCCGTGGCTCCGGCCTGCATCAGGGTGTTTACAACAACAACAATAACAACAATGGCAGCACGAACGTAACAATGCTGCAGACTCCACCGCCGGACGAGGACCTCGCCGTCCAACCGCATCCCTTCGGGGGCCGGTGCGGGACCGCAGACGGGAACTCCGTGGCGTCTTCCGCCCCGACCCCGGCCACGGCCTGGCTGGAGGTGTGGGACTTTGCCGGCGGTGCGAGCTTCCGGGCCTTTGTGGCGGACGACGGGACTGAAAGGTCCCTCTTCGCACTATTTGACAGAAACGTCATTGGACGTGACCTGAAGCCAGCGTATGTTTCCCCCCGTTTTGTATTTTTGCCCTCTCCTTCTCCCGAGTGTTGCAACTGACATAACCCCCAGGCTTATGGCGCTGATGGAGTTGGTCGATGGACCCCTCAACTGCCAGCATCTGGTCATCTGCATCGACCGGGGCATCGAGGAGGAGGACGCGAAGTCGCTGATGAAGAGCCTGCAGTGGGTAGGCTTCGAGCTGACGACACTGGATCACTGGGCGCGCGACGTGGACGTGACGAGTGACCAGTGGCTGTTTATGAGCATGGAGATCTAGCATTACCCGGACCTCGTCCGTTCGCGTTCTGTCTTGGGATCCTTTGAGTTCATAAGCTAGGTAGTTTTGGAGTTTTCTCTTGGTTTTGCCTTTGGGCTTCGTCCATGGTCTTCCCCTTTTTTCTAACGGTTCACGTCTCTGCTTTTGTCAGCCTTTTCGGCTTCCACACCTTGTGTTCTTGGCAAAAGTGGTTTTTTTGTCTAACCTTTTCTCCGTTCTTCTCTTTTTGTGTGTACAGAAACAACTCGGGACTGAGGACACGACCAGCATGGAACATAGGGGGGAAAAGGGGGAACTGTCACAAAAGCATCAAGCAGAAATGGAATCTCAGTCTCGTGTTTTTCTGGCATTTTTCTTCCTTCTGTACTTGTATTCGAGAGTCAACCCGTTGGGGGGTGCTGTTTCCGGTCCCCTCGCTCTTCCTCATCTGGCCATGGAGTTCGTCATTGCCGGTTGGGGGGGGGACTTCTCTTAAACTTGGATCACTTCATGAGGTTTGCTTTTCAGGATGGCCATTTCTTGTCTCTTTTTTCCTTCGCTTGGGGTATAGGGATGGAACGGTTTTTGGGCCGGCCAGGAGAGATGCATCCTATCTCCATAGTAGGGCGTGTGCACGCGTCGCAACTGTAACTTTGCAGGCTTTGCATGTCACTGAAATCAGAAAGTTTGAATAAGTTTGGAGAAGGAAAAAATAATATCATGGTTCTTTTTCATATATACCTTTCCCCCAGATATCGTGCTGATATATTCGTCTCGATTTTTTTTAGTGAAGATTTCTTGATTATTCGCGCTGTGGCTGTGGCGTGGTCTATATACTCTCCTCGAACTGCCTTACCTTGAGCCCTTTATCAGCTAGGAAATCCTTGACCTGCTTCACCGTGTACTCGCCGCGGTGGAACATGCCGGCACCCAAAGCGGCGTCGGTCGTCGTCTTGGCAAACACCTCCTCGAAGTGCGCCGGGTGCCCGGCGCCGCTGGAGGCGATGACTGGGATCCGGACGGCCGCCTTGACCTGGGCGATGAGCTCGAGGTCGAAGCCGCTGTTGGTGCCGTCCTTGTCGATGCAGTTGAGGAGGATCTCGCCGGTGCCCATGGCCTCGACGGCCTGCGCGAGCTCGACGACGTCCATGTCGCGCGTCTCGCGGCCGCCCTTGATCGTGCACGCGTACCAGCAGTACTCCTCGCCCTTGGGGCCCGGGGCCGCCGTCCGGATGATGTTGTGCCGCGTTGCGTCGGGCTTGGGCACGTAGACGCGCTTGGGGTCCACGGAGACGACGACCGCCTGGTTGCCGTAGGCCTTGGAGATCTGCTCGATGGCCGTGTTGCCGAACAGCTTGCGGCCGGCGCCGTAGTACTCCTCGGCCGCGAGCACGGCGTCGGAGCCGATCGACACCTTGTCGGCGCCCGACTTGAAGTACATGGTGGCGATCTCGAGGGCCGAGACCTTTGTGCCGTCCGTGTCGACGGTGTCGCGGATGCCGCCGCCGACGGTCAGCGGCACGAAGACGGTCTCGGAGGTGCGCCGGAGGATCTCGAGCATGGGCAGGTCGGCCAGCGGGCAGTCGCGGAAGCTGGTAATATTGAGGAAGGTGACCTCGTCGGCCCCCTGCTCGTAGTAGCGCCGCGCCATCTCGACGGGCTTGCCGAGGTTGCGCACGTTGTTGCCCTCGCCCTTGTCGCGCACGTCGTACTGGTCGCCCTTGGTCACGACGAGGTCGCCCTGGTCGTTGGTGCGCACGTCGAGGCAGGCGATGACGCGGCGCGTCAGGCCGTCCTGGAAGGGGACCGCGGCGGCGGCGGCGGCGGGGGGCGTAACGACGGCGTCGCCTCTCGCGAGGGCCGCGGCACCGGAGCCGTCGAGGAAGGCGCGGAGGCAGCGCAGGCCGGCGGCGCCCGACTTCTCCGGGTGGAACTGCGTAGCGAAAATGTTGCCCCGGGCGAGGGCGCCGACAAAGGTCTCGTCACCGTAGGTGCCCGTCGCGACGGTCCAGCCCTGGGCCTCGAGGTCGCCGCGGGTGTAGGGGTACTTGTATGTGTGGACGTAGTAGTATTTGGATTCCGGGTGGAGATCGTAGAGGCTCGCGCCGCCCGTGTTGGCGCTGTTCCAGCCGATGTGGGGGACGGACTTGTCGGAGGACTCGAAGCGGTCGAGGCGGCCCTTTGCGACGCCGAGGCCGGGGACGTCGGGGTCCTCGGCGGAGCCCTCGAAAAGGGCCTGGATGCCGACGCAGATGCCCATGAAGGGTTTGCCGGAGGCGATATGGGCGGAAATAGCGGGGAGGAAGCCGGCTTGGGAGAGCTGGGAGAGGCAGTGGCCAAAGTGGCCGACACCGGGGAGTATCAATTTCTGGGAGAGGGGGGAGCAGGCGTTGGTTAGCTTCGGACAATTGATCTGCGAGATGCCGATCTTCAATGGCATACTTCCGCTGAGGGAACATCTTCAGGTTTCCTAATCCACTCGACTTCGTAGCCGACCTTCTCGATGGCGTTCACCAAGCTGCGAACATTGCCCGCGACGTAGTCCAGCAGGTGAACCTTTGGCATGGTGGGCAGGCTGGCTCTCGATCGGCTGGGGTGTGGCTGGGTATAGGTGTAACAGATGGACGGTAATACAACTCGAGCTTTGGAATAAGTCGAATGCGCCCTTATAAGAATTGACACTTGTCGAGGACTGGACGAGAACCATCTGTGAGTCAGAAAGGATGGGATGTGCTAGTTCGCCCGTCTCTTGAGAGTCACTGCAGGGGAAATTTACTTGCGATAGCGGGGCAGAGGGGTTGTGAGCAACAACTGTGATGTGAGGACCGTACGGCGTGTGCCCCGCATCAAACCCCGAGAGGCAACCCCCCCTCCCCTGTCCAATTGACCGTTGCCCTGTCGTAATCTGCCTGGAACAGGAAATCTGCTTCAATCAATCTGATTGAGCTTCCTCAAAAGTTCCCCCATACTATAACCGTCCTCCTCAAGATGAGCATGGCAATTCAAACGGGAGCTCCTTGACGCCTTCTATGTATGACCTATCTTGCTGGTTGTATTAGATCCGCAATTTTCCCCAAGTCGAACTCAATGAACGAATTTCATCCCTTGGCCGGAGCCTTCTTCCAAAGTTGAACGCGATAACATGGCCACCAACGCGCCAACCTCCTCAGTCGCGCCAGTGGTGGCAGCGACTGCGCCTGCGGACCAGCCGCTCAAAGCACCCACCGAGTCCGAAGACGGGGATGAATCGGAGTGGGAATACGAATACTCGACCACTGAGACCGAGGTAGGGCTGCCGTGACAAACGTGGTTAGAAGGATTAACTGCTGACGCATCCCAGACATACTACCTGACTGTCGACCTCTCAATCCCCCAGCTCCTGCGGCGAAAGCGAAACGCACCGGTTTCCGGTCGTGGAGGATACCACTACAAGCACTGGGCTGGCCCTCACCGGAAACCCGACGAGCCAAAACACCACCGCATCCTCTCAGACGATGAGAACGATGACGAGCCCGCGGCCGAGCCCGAAGAAGACGAAGACATGGACCAAGGCCAGGTTGAACCGAACACAGACGGTTTCGACGCCGACTTTGAGTCTGAGCCGGCGGTCGACATACAGATTCTGGACCTGCACTCGGACAAGCCCCTGTTCGCATACAAGGGGAAGGTTTTCGAGGGGCAGTGGGCGCGCAACCTAGGCACAGAGGTCATATTCACAGAACACGACGATCAAGACCCTCTCCCTGCTCTTCGGCATCTCCCGGGTGGCGTGGACATGCTCGCAGCCAGCTGGTCGCGCATCAATACGACGGAGAGGCGGCTGGAACCGAAGCATGAGGCGGCAGCCAAGGACGACCCCTTGAAGGAGATCAGGAGGCAACATGGGATCCATATCCCCATCACAGCAGACAAGACGGGCGAGCGAAAGCGACAAACCAGGTTTCTGGAGAACCTCATGGCGCTGAAAGTCAAAAGGGGCGAAAAGGACGAAGTGACGGTGTATGCGCACGCGGCTCCGAAGCCGGTCAACGAGGGCACGAACAGTCGAAGGAAAAGACGGAAACCGTTGCCAGAAGACCAGGCAAGGAAACGTCGGGGCCGCGGCGGCGGCGTCCGCGGGAGAGGTGGCCCGATGGCGATGGAGGTTGGTTTCGAAAGCAAAGCAGAGCCAGGCGACTCAGCCGAGGCAGCGGGCCCTCGAGACGGAGCCTTGTCTACGCCAACGCCGACAGCATGGGCAGACCTGGGTGGACGGAGCGAAACCGCGGACACGGTCGCGGGCCCAAACGACGAGGATGACGGAAGCGAGGACGGCAGCGAGGACTACGATGATGGTGGGGACCTGGAATAGGAAACCTTACGAACACGCCTCCGATATGAAGATGAGGCACATCTGATCTACCACACATAAGCTTTTCACCCCGCGACTGATCTCGCGATCCAAGTCCAGCACCAAGTTGGCCAGTTGGAGCTAGAAAGACGAAAAGGCAATGCCTCGGATAGGGACACTGAAACTGCATGATGGCATTATGAGGCTCGAGGGCCGCGCGTTGCCGGGTACTCCTGGGATGGCACATGATCTTGGCGACAGACCTGCACGGAGGCATGATGTGGTCAGGCTAGTGAGTGTCAGGGAAACTGTTGAGTCGGCAGGAAACCTCTCAACGGTGTAGGGCCTGCAACGGTTGCACCTACGTAGTATGCATTAGGTAGCACCATATCGCCTGTCTCTCTGTATTGTACAAGAAGCGCACGCACTGGAAGGTCGGTTATCGATTCACTGCCAGAACGAGGGAATTACCCGAACGTAAGATAGAACGAACAAACCCTTAAAAAGAAAAAGAAATAGAAAAGAAATAAAAAAGGAACATTTTCCACTACTTACATAATAGTTCGCGGATACCGGCAAGACCACGCTCAAGCGCAGCGTGTGTCAAGGTGTTCCGCTGTGTCACTCTCGACGCACCACCCGTGCACCCACTGCCAGCTGACATGCGATCTACTACTATTGAATGGAGAGCATCGCTCGTGATGGTCACAGGGGTCGCCTGGCTGCTACCGGTACACTGCAAACACTCTGCGGCGAACGGGGCCTGACAAGCCATACATACCTGGTATCTGCACTCTGTACTGGGAACCTGCAGGGTTCTGGTTGGTCCCGCAGATCTGAACCCGCTGCATAAGGTACCTGTCGCCTTGCTGTATTCCTTGCCAAGCCGCGGAGGGAGATACCTACTGCTTCGGTGCGTGTCCCGCAGAGAATCGTGTACCTTCCCACCCCTCCCCTTTGCTCAGGGAATACTTAGGTACCTATGCCTTGGTCGGGTGGCGGGCTGCCGCATCGACGGTATCCGGCTAATGGGACGTCCATCTAGCCCCCCTCTCCAATCCCTATGATCCCTACGCCCACTCCCGTCCGTCCCTGATTCCGTTGTCGCTCTCTCACCGTCGCCCGCGCATCCGCTTGGTTCCGTCCAAAATCCCAACCCCAAGGCTTGCTGCAGCCCCTTCCCTTTCCTCCTCGCCCTCTCCCTCATTAAACTTTTCTTCATCGAGTCGAGACAAAACACACCAAACACCGTCCAGAGGGCCTCAGCGTTCCTTCGACCATGCATATCCGCCCGCATTTCCCACCTCCAACGTCTTTGTAGCGGTTCACAACTGGTGATGCTGTACGAGACACCGCTGGCTTCCACAAGACGTGCCGGCATCCCGAAGCCCCCCCGAGCTATCCTCACTCGGCCTCCGTAGCCGTCAACACCATTTTACCTGTCGACACGACCCAGTCCCTCGATTGCCCATCCCTTTACGAAGCATTTCCTCAACTGTGAGGCCTGGAGCCAACACCAACATTGCAATGTACTACCTGCGCCGCATCACTATCCTCTGTGCCGTCCTGGCCTCCGTCTCGTTCCTAGCATGGTTCTTGCCTCGATACCTCAACCCAAGCCCGCCGGACCCCGCTAAGCAGCGCGAGGACAGGAGATGGGTCAATAGCAGTCCCTACTGGCTCGACCGCCAGGCATGTCGATGGCTGAGTCTTTGCGGTATCCATCATCTCTCCTGGGACCCCGCCTTTCTCGTCCCTCATAACGATTCCGACGCGGGTGAGTTGCGCCTAGAGCTGAGGTCTCTCGACGGACGACACTCCGGCTGGGAAACAGCACCCCAGAAGCGTTCGCCGCGGGACGACAAAGACGAGAGGCGGAAGATCCTGAAAGAAATCCCCAACTATGTTCTTGAGTATGCGCCGCTCGTTCACCTCTACTCGGGCGAGAACTTCTGGCCATCCGACATTGCAGAGCATATTCGACACATGACGCCCTACTTGGAAGAAGAGGCCTTGAACCGCTCTCTCGCTCTGTCGGACCTGCAAGAACTCAACAAGGAGGACGGCATGGTCTACCTCACCAGCGATGACGACGTTGAGCAGAGACCCGAGTGGCTGCACAGCCACGTTGGTATTCCCGAGCCATGGGACGACGAGGGGGACGAGGATGGAGACAGTGGCCACGACAACAACGATCGTCCGTCCGAGGACTTTGACCACCCACCACCTCCCACAGAAGATACGACTTGGTTCGACGTATCACGCGATCATCCTGTCAACCGTATCTCGGACCCTCGTCGCCTAGCTCCACAATTTGCTCCCTCATCCGCTCGCACCGGCGGCTTCCACCTCCGTCGCCGAGACCAGGACCAAAAACCGATACCCGATACGCCGACTCACAAACCCAACCAGGAAGGCTATTCCAAGGCCCCCGCCGTCCTCGTTCTCGTAGACAAGGGCTCCGGCATCGTTGACGCATTCTGGTTCTTCTTTTACTCGTACAATCTGGGCCAGACCGTCCTGACAATCCGGTTTGGCAACCACGTCGGTGACTGGGAGCACTGTATGATGCGCTTCGAGAACGGTGTTCCCCGTGGCATTTTCTTCTCCGAACACGAAGGCGGACAGGCTTACACTTACAACGCCGTTGAGAAGCGGGGTCTTCGCCCTGTCATTTACTCCGCCGTCGGATCTCACGCCATGTACGCGCAGGCCGGCGACCACCCCTACGTGCTACCCTTCGGTATGTTGAAGGACGTCACGGACAAGGGTCCTTTGTGGGACCCGGCGAAGAACGCCTACACGTACTGGTATGACTACGCCCAGGATTTGGACGAGGACCTCGATCTCGATTTCGACGGCGAAGTCGACGTGGCTAGCGGCCACCGGAAGGAAAACCCCACCAGTCTAGTCCCGACGGCGGAGAACCCCGACGCGCCAACGTCCTGGTTCCATTATGCCGGCCCTTGGGGCGACAAGCTCTACAGCCTTGCCGACATGCGCCAATGGCGGCTTTTCGCCCAGTATCATTACGTCTCTGGACCGCTGGGACCCAAGTTCAAGCGTCTTGATCGGGAGAAGCTGTGCATCACCAGGCGTTGCCGGATTCTCAACAGCCTAAAGCCTGGGCAGACGTGGTACGGTTAGACATGACGGAGTTGATAGGCAAAGTCTTTTTTTTTTTTGGGGGGGGGGGGGGGGGGGTTAGTTTTTTTACAAAGGAACCGTGAAAGAAAGGAACCTGTACAGGGGCTGTCCTACGCTCACATTCTTCCCTTACAAGAACCAAGCGCGCAACGGCGCTCTTTCAATGGCTACATATAGATACTCTTTCTCCTACCGCGAGGAGGGGCGGGGGCGTCGGCTGGGGCAATCGGGTATTGGAGTTTTGTGGTGCTTTCTTGGACTAGCCTGGTCTTGATACCCTCAAACCATATTTCCAACTAGATGACCTTTCAAAGTTCGGCTTTCCGCCTCATCAGCCTAATTTATTTGATGTGACTTTTGTTTTGCAAACGCCTTCAGAACGGGTAGTTATCGTCGCTCATGCGCAAGGCCACCGGCCGTTTGAGTGGGCTTTACCTATGTGGGGGGCGTTCCGATCACATCACTCGACATGCCCCTTGCCCTCGTGGAATCCTGTGTTATTACGTTTTTTAGTCGCGTTGCACGCAGAAGGCATGACTAGTAAGGGCATGCTTGAAACCAAGTCGCAAAGACGACCAGGCTACTCAGGTTCCTGCTTGTGATGCAGGGAGTGAGAGGGGCTGGAAGCATCGCAGCCAGACGGGGCCGGCCATTATGCAGCACGACTTGGCTGTTCCCGCGCGGATTACCATCAACATGGGGTGGAGAGTCCGGTCGCCTAGGGCTCATCGCCGTCTTGTGGTCTTGTCACTCGAGGCCGAGTTGTGGATTGCGCTGCCGCTCTGGTATCCCGGGCGCCAGCCGGTTTTACGCAAGAGGCCCAGCGTAAGCTACACTACGCCTCTCGGCATCGCCTGGTCGAGAAGCTTGACTCCCCAAAGAGGGGGCGGGGGAAGCGTGAGCGTGGTCCTGAATCGCCTCTCGTCGGCTGGCAGAGATGGCATCTGGAAGAGCGGTGATGAATCCATACTTTGACTGAGCCGCTCGCGGTATGCCCCCGTTTTGTGCACAGAGGCAATTGAGAATGAGATGTATGGAGCTATCCGGCCAGCAGCTTGGGTGTTGGAAAAGGGACTGAGAATGTTTCTGGACGAGTTTCGCTCCAGAATGGCACCAGAGCCGATGATGACGACCGTTTCCTTGCTGGCTACTGCAAAGGCTACAAATGCGGCTGCGTGGTCGGTATCATGCTGGCTAATAGTGTAGAGCGATGGGGTTTAGACTAGAAAGCTTCTTGAACATGGGTCCATTTGTCGTCTTACGAGCCATCGTCAACGGCAACGATATGCATCCTGTCACTCGGGCAACTTGGGAACGGCACAGGGCATACCGCGTTTCTAGCAAATGCTGACTTGCTGTCCATTAGGATCATGAAGTCGATCGTAGGAAATATGTTATTATCTTCGACTCCCTGCATTGGCTCGTGGTCTGGCCCCAACCCCTGTTTTCATCGACAAAAACCAAAACACTAAACTAGTAAACCGTGTATCCTGGCGCCCATCCCAAGGTTAGCCGTTCTTAGCTTCAATTGAGGTCATCTCAACTACTCGGCCGGAAAGTCCGCCATCTTACCAAGTGACGAGGAAGTATCATGGTCCCTTGCTGCCTTCACTTCTTAAATCCGTAGCGGGCTTTAGGATCTGTGTGAGACTAGCTGACCATGGACGCTATTGAAACCTTTGTCGAAGATGAAAGTCATGTATATCATGATTTGATATTGCGGCATTCGACAATGCTCACTACATAAAAATAGCTGATGTCGAGGAGCAACCTAACAAGGATTTCATAAGCGATGGGCCATTCGGGTTGAATTTGTCCATAATAAGAAATCACGACATACTGGGGTCTATGCATTACAGCATGTTCTGATGTTCTTCATTCCGAGGCTCCGGTGGACGATGAGGCAAATACCAACATACGCCTGACCTGCTTTGAATATCTGGGAGAGGAGAGAGAGGCAACTCACAGCAATCTCGATAGACCAATGTATCTTTTTCTGCTCCGCCCTTTTCTGTTCAGTCAAATCCCATATGCAAGACCTGCTACGGCCTAAACCCGAGACCGCCTTGGGTCATCTCACCGTCATCGCTCACATCTAAACCATGTAAGTAGCGGTTTCAATGACCTTCGTTTGCACATCGAGCTCGCTCTTTTACTCAAAATGGAGCGGACAAGACCAGAGTCGTTGCCACCGTTCGTTCCCCCGCTCTGCCAGTGAACCAGAGAATTCCGAATCAGCCAAGGAAACGCTGCATGCAGGTCGCTTCTAGTGGCGGTTGATTGACGGACGATCTGTGTGGGGTGGTCTTCATAATCCTTGCTGCAGGATTGAGCCCAGCAAAGTTTCCGACATCTCCGTCTAAAGTCGTCCGAATTCGTCCGAATTCATGCTAAGCAATAAGAGGCCCCAGAGTTGCAAGATAGTTTCGGAGCATATTACGAACCAGTTCATCCTCCCTAATCAAACTACCGCATTCCTACCCCGTCGACATCCAGCCATGGCTTCCCTTACCAATCCCGCCATCCCTAGAGGGTCACTCGTCCTAGTCACAGGCGTCAATGGTTACCTCGGTTCGCATGTTGCAGACCAGTTTCTTCACTATGGCTACAATGTTCGCGGTACCGTTCGTGACGTTGTCAGCAGTGGCTGGCTCTGCGACCTGTTTGAGGGCAAGTACGGCAAGGGAAGATTCGAGCTCGTCTCAGTTCCGGACATGACTACCGAAGGAGCATACAATGAGGTGGTGAAAGGTGCATTCTCGTTCAACACGTCCCTCTACAGGTGACAACCCATCGCTGACCATGTTGTGAATACAGGAACGTCGGCCTTCATCCACGTTGCTGCTGTTGTCAGGGTCACACCTAATCCGCATGAGGTTATCCCAATTACCGTTGAAGGCTCCCTCAATGCATTGAAGGCAGCCTACGCCGAGCCCGGCGTCAGACGCTTTGTCTTGACCTCGTCCTCGGTAGCGGTCGTCCCCGCAGATCCCGTGACCTACAAACAACAACCCCATGTCATCACGCACGATACTTGGAGCGCGGATGCCGTCGAGCTAGCGTATGCCCCTCCGCCGTACACACCGGACCGCAGCATAATCGTCTACAGTGCCAGCAAAGTCGAATCTGAGAAGGCGGTGTGGGATTATCACAAAGAACACCGACACGCACGCCCGGACCTAGTTGTCAATACGGGTACCTACTTGTCCCCAATCTCCATTTGTTGAATGGGTAAAACTGACTCTTGCAGTCCTTCCGAACGTAAACTTTGGCAAGTGCCTCGATGTGGCAAACCAGGGCTATCGCACGAGTGCAGGACTCATAGCTTGCCTCTGGAAAGGTGTTGAGATCCCAGAAGGCGTCAAAGTACCTTGTAAGACCCCACCCGGGAACCCTCGTCTCGGTACTGACTTTTAGCTAGATTACTTTGTAGACGTACAGGATACCGGCGTACTTCACGTTGCGGCGGCTGTCCTACCAGAGGTCCAAGACGAGCGCATCTTTGCGTTTGCAGAGCCGTTCAACTGGAATAGAGTGCTGGCTATCCTGCGTCAGCAGAACCCCGATCGTTCATTCGGTGATGATTTTGAGGGCACTGAGTATTTGCACACCATCGAGCCCAGGGGCAGAGCAGAGAATTTGTTGAAGAAGATGGGTCGTCCGGGATGGATTTCCTTGGAAGACAGCGTCCTGAATAACACGGAGAGCCTTCGCAAAGTCGAAACCTCACCGGTATTGTGAGATGTAGGAGGACATCCTCTTTTTTCGGGTATCAAATCACTCGGGCACACTGAAACACTACAGAAAGTCAGCTACATACATATTTTGTGCTTTCACCGTATCATGGCGAGAGCGACTTGTCAAGAAACACCGACACTGTGTCATAGCAAGACTTCAAGTCCCAGGATGCCGCCTTTCGTCGTAGGACCAGAAGCCCCTCGATGCACCGATGGACCCAGATTCTAGGTATATCTGATATACGAGTGGGGAACGGGAAGGTGGTTGATGAAGAAATCTAACGTTCAACCTTATCAAAAGCCCGCTTCACCCAAAGGGAGCTTGCCGGTACCGGAGCGAGACTAGCTGCTGGAAAGGCAGATGCAACCTCGCGCGCAAAAGCAAACTTAAGCCTTGGGCTGCAGGGATGCGCAACATCTGCAGCGAGTTAAAAAGGTGCAGATCCCAAAGCACGGATGCCGGGCAACGACCGAAACATTTCCGGAGTGATGAACCAGCCTCATTGAGGCCGTCTTCCAAGCAAACAGCACATGGCAGCTGCCGCATTCATTCCGAAGCTGATCGGTTCCTCCGACCACCGGAATCATTTTATACCAACCAGCCAGCCAACCCCACGTTCCCGGGCTGAAAAGGATGAAAGAGGAGGAAGGGGGGGGAAAAAAAGAAGAAGAAAAGTGGAAGAAAAGTGGAAGTGAAAAAGGCACAAAAATAACACTGACAAGCCCCTCCCTTAGCCCAACAAAGCCTATAATCAACGACATGTGATTTCTAATCAACCCCTCCATCTTACCCCTCTATCGTCGGCTCTCCCGCGAACCCGCCCAGCGTCGGACGCAGAGTACAGGCAAAACCCGCGCAAAAAAATACGGGAAAAAATTCCAGTAAAAGAGAATAGGCCGAGAAAATCTCTAACTAAGCCTCTCACCCCCACCTGGACCGCAGATACCGAGCTTTCGACATCCCCCGCGCCCTTCGCAACTGTGCAATCACTATATCCTATTCCCAACCTCCATCTCTCTTTCTCTCCTCCCATTCTCTCTCCTGTCGCATTCTAGAACACTTCGCTCGGAAACGTCCGATCCCCATCCGATTCCCCCCCCTTCTCCAATATCGACGTGATCAAAACTTCATCATCGGAGCCCCTCCATTGGATAGAACCCGTAACCCCCACCACCGCCGCCGTAGTCGACGCCGGGCTGAGCCGCACGCTGCCTTTTTCCACCTTAACCATTTTAACTACACCACGAGGGCTTCTCATTCGACCGCCCAGCTGTTGCGCCATCGCAAGACGTTGAAGAGTCCCA